TGTACTGTACTGTACATGTTTTTAGTTATAATTTAAAAGATAATTATTACATTATCTCCATTTTCTCATACCTTTGAATATTCCTAATTGTTTATCTAACTTCATAGATTAAATAAATTAAACTTCAGCCAAACTTCGATTTAGCGCCGCCTCTAAAATTAGCACTAAAGCGAGTGTGGGGCGTAACGAGATCTATATGTGAATTTGAGAGTTTGAAAGTCAATTCGATGATATCAATGTCATTCGAGATGAGAAATCTTATATTTAGTAATTCACTAACACTGAAGGGTATTCAATTTAATATTTAAAAGGAATATTCATTCTAGATAATTCACTAGGTTGGCTCTATCTAGAAGGGCGAAGTTTGGCTGTATATAAATGAACAAAAACTTACTTTAGCTTTTGTCGCCAGCGACAAATCTTTAAGTGCATCGCTATATTGATCCTTTTGATTATTCAACTCCAATTCTTGCCTTCCCAACTCTTCCTGTAAGGTAGAATCATTCTTTAAATTAGCACCGTCAGAAATCTTCATTAAGGAACACATTCTTAACAATAAAAATCATACCTTTAACCGCATGATTTCTCTTTCTCTTTCTTCCAACCTTTTAATAACATTCGACTGGAATAAAAAAAAGCATTGTAAATCATCTGTAGAAAATGAAAGTGGAAAATGCGAGATGAGAAAAGTAGAGGTAAAAAGCCAAGCATTGTTTTCCTATTCAAGGTCAAACTTGTCTACTTTTCGCATAATTTCCAACACGGATATAAGTTTAACTTCCAAGAACATGAACGTGTTCGGTCGAAGGTATCTTTCTAATTTTTTAACAAAACGTGTTAAAGTGCCATCGAACTTACACCGTTTCGTAGTAATTGTTTATAAATATTTATTAATTAATAAATTTTAGAAAAAATTATATGTTAAAACACGTAGTTTTTCACTTCTAAATATTGAATATATTCATAAATTAACTTTTTTAAAAATTTAAAAGAGGATATATATATACAGTAATTCGAGCTAACTTTTAAAATGAGATTTTCAATTTATTCATAGAAATTGTAAAAATTTGTATTTAGAAATCAATTTATTTTAAAAAAAAATTACTGACTTTTCGATTTTTAATGTAAATATAATTTCTTCCAATTATATATAAATTCACATATTATTCNTTATAATTTAAAAGATAATTATTACATTATCTCCATTTTCTCATACCTTTGAATATTCCTAATTGTTTATCTAACTTCATAGATTAAATAAATTAAACTTCAGCCAAACTTCGATTTAGCGCCGCCTCTAAAATTAGCACTAAAGCGAGTGTGGGGCGTAACGAGATCTATATGTGAATTTGAGAGTTTGAAAGTCAATTCGATGATATCAATGTCATTCGAGATGAGAAATCTTATATTTAGTAATTCACTAACACTGAAGGGTATTCAATTTAATATTTAAAAGGAATATTCATTCTAGATAATTCACTAGGTTGGCTCTATCTAGAAGGGCGAAGTTTGGCTGTATATAAATGAACAAAAACTTACTTTAGCTTTTGTCGCCAGCGACAAATCTTTAAGTGCATCGCTATATTGATCCTTTTGATTATTCAACTCCAATTCTTGCCTTCCCAACTCTTCCTGTAAGGTAGAATCATTCTTTAAATTAGCACCGTCAGAAATCTTCATTAAGGAACACATTCTTAACAATAAAAATCATACCTTTAACCGCATGATTTCTCTTTCTCTTTCTTCCAACCTTTTAATAACATTCGACTGGAATAAAAAAAAGCATTATAAATCATCTGTAGAAAATGAAAGTGGAAAATGCGAGATGAGAAAAGTAGAGGTAAAAAGCCAAGCATTGTTTTCCTATTCAAGGTCAAACTTGTCTACTTTTCGCATAATTTCCAACACGGATATAAGTTTAACTTCCAAGAACATGAACGTGTTCGGTCGAAGGTATCTTTCTAATTTTTTAACAAAACGTGTTAAAGTGCCATCGAACTTACACCGTTTCGTAGTAATTGTTTATAAATATTTATTAATTAATAAATTTTAGAAAAAATTATATGTTAAAACACGTAGTTTTTCACTTCTAAATATTGAATATATTCATAAATTAACTTTTTTAAAAATTTAAAAGAGGATATATATATACAGTAATTCGAGCTAACTTTTAAAATGAGATTTTCAATTTATTCATAGAAATTGTAAAAATTTGTATTTAGAAATCAATTTATTTTAAAAAAAAATTACTGACTTTTCGATTTTTAATGTAAATATAATTTCTTCCAATTATATATAAATTCATTTTATATAGAAACATGCTGAAGTTTGACTATTTTTTATAGCATGCTTCCTATAGGAAATTGTCAATGAGCATTATTGTAAACTAAAACCATTAAAGAAAGCAATGGTAGAATTTCAATAAACGTGTTCAATCGTTGTATTTTTATAGCCGATTGTTTATAACTCCCTTACAAAAAAAAATCTGAACAGTAAAGAGCAGGTTTTAATGTTTTACAACTCCCATATCCATAAAACGTTCCTTCCATGAGTAAAACACGATTAACAGGATAAAATGATCCTTTTATAATAACTTTTATGAGAGGAAATGTACAGACTGGTACTCAGGCGGTACAATTTCGTGTTATACTGACTCTTATCGCTAAGATTTACTCAAAAATATAACCTTCCCGTTTAAAATTAATGTTATACGCAATTTATCATAATTAAATTCCGATACTTCTAACAAATTTAACATAAAGATATCATCTTGTAAAATATCTTAAGAGTATAATCTGAATATCTATTTATTTAAATATAGATTAATGGTTCCTTTATTTATACACGTCAATTGATAACGTTAAACTTTTTACTTAATTAAATTAAGAATTAGAAAGGCGACAATGTCGATAATATTCTATAAACATAATCCTATCTGTGACAAATTTAGAATTTAATAAATGTGTATTTTTCAGATTATAATCACTAAAATTCAATTAATATTTTAAGGATTTTTAAAGGATTTAATTTAGAAAATAGATTTATATAATTTTATTTACAATTATATAATAAATAAATTCGTAGTAATTAATTTATAAATAAATTCATTGATAAAGTTAATCAATTTTGCATAAAATATATAAAATTTTATTTTATATATTTTAAATTAATTCACTTACACGATCTTCCGTTGACTGTACTTCATTTTCCATTTTTTTTCCGATATTTCCAGGAGAAGCATCTTTTCCATCTTGTTTATGATTCTAAATTTATATTTGAAATTTTTATATATTATATTATATTATAATTAATATAAATTTATTTTATTTTAAGAATAAACTTTAGTACTTTAGTAGTAGCATCTCCATTTAGATGATGGAATTCGGAAGGGACAGATTCGTTTCTCATATCTGATGGACGGTGACTTCTGAGTAACTAAATGAAAAAGAAAAAGAAAATTAAAGCTCAATTGCTTAAATATATTTTTATGTAATTTAAATTAATTTTTCACTTAATATAAATAAACGTTAGAATTTTTTTCCGATTAGTTCTATTATATCTTACAGTTTGGGGAAGAAGCAAATGAAATTGTTTAAAATAGAGAAAAGAAATTATTTTTCATTCCGCTTGCACTTACCCCACGTTTAGTACACTTGAGGAATGCTGTAAAAATGCCATCATGCGACCTATAAGTTCTTGGTGTCCCCATTCTTTGCAACTCTGCATTCAGTTGCAAAACTCAGGACGCATATGCGTTTGGTGTTAGTTCCTACAAGAGAGAAATGAAACAAGATCACCCAAGGACATTACTTGCTGCAGCTGTGTTACCATCAACCACTTGCCCCACCACTGCCTTCAATTTTATTTTTCTTTTTTTGTTAACTCTCCTAGACTAGTGCCTCATCATTCACAGACATAAACATGCAGAAACTAAAGAAAGAAAAATAAAAAGGTTATAATCCTACAGACTTTTTAGTTTAAATCCCGAAAGATCGCAGAAAATTAGCAATTTTTTTTTATTTTAATCTGTAGCAACCCGTTTTGTCGAAGAGTCACTTGAAAAGTAACCTTGTAGAACAGAGTCCACTAAAGAGCGATATCAGTGAAGTAGTAGGCGTTTGAAAAAGTAAAGGGATAAAACTTATGTAGGCTAGGACACGACACGATCTAAAGAGAATGATTAATCGGCTCGATCACCTAAAAATGCCTTAATCCGCCTTAATTAGAAGGTCCGAGTGAATTTTATATCTTGTAACTGAAGTGCTCCAAATTGTGCCACAAGCGAGCAAAGAACACGCTTAGTGATAAACATCACATCATAAACAATAAAGAGTTCAACTTATTCAAAATAATTCAATAAAAGAATTTCCATTCTATTAAACTAATCCTCACAACAATAGAATTAATAGAGATGATCGTTAATAACCTATAATATAATCGATGAGGTCAAAGATCGTATTAAAACGTGACTCGGCATTCCGCTTTACTCTACTTAGACTGCTTTGCACGAGGTCACACTATTACAGTCCCACATTTTGTTCCTGTTTTTAATGGAAGGACATTATTCTGTGGGCGTTTAGGGGGGGGTGTCTGTCCGGGCATTTGGCCTGAAAAATTCTATATTCGTAAAGCGAAGTGAATTTTATCCGACTACGCTTTTTCTAATATAGAACGAAATTTTTCCTTTCGGTTTGTAGTATTTAATGTCTCAAAAAAGCTGAATTTTCATTGCATTTCCTTCCGGCATTTTAATTAATTATATTTTTCACACTTTTATTGATTTTAATGTATATTTCCTTCCTTAAATCAATTTTACTCATGCGTGCAAACTTTGTCATCTTGACCAGAAAAAAATCTTTTCATTCAAAGAATTTGTTTAGAAATATTTATCTTACATTTTCTACACTTATAGAACTGTTTATTATTATAATAAACTCGATTAAGATTATAGAAGAACAATCATAAATATAATAACTTGGCTGTGGCAGAAGTAACCCAATTGTCTACTGATCCGTTCGATTGCCTCCGAGAGATATCCATTGAATTAGTTTTTAATGCAAGGACGTTGCATAAAAAAACAATCTTCGATCAGTAGAAAAAAGTCAAAAGAAACAAATAATAGGCCTCGATATTATCGTAATAAAATCTATATTGTTATAAAACTAGAGATTGCTGTACGAGCCGTGACAGTTTGCTTTTATTTATGGAACACTTTCACGAACAATGCTTCCTAAATTGACTTATCAATTGCATTGTTTTAGTAGAAACATAGTAATTTTACATAATTTCCATTTTTATAACAAAATCCGAGGAAGTACCTAATAAATTATACAGTTAAATATCTTACAAAAAAACAGTTGAATTGAGTTGGAGCTAACTGGCGCCGGATATTTGTCATTTATAATCGAATAATATTTTTAAAAAATAATAATTTAATGATGAAAAATGACTTGAATATGTTGAACAATTTCTTTTATATTTTGTTCTGGTAATTCTAATGTTTTCTGAAGACGTTAAGCTTTGCAAATTGGCTATAATTCTGAAAGCTCGATAGAAATTGTATTATTTTTTAGATTAGAAGAAAACCTCTAACGCAGTTTAAAACCGAAAAAATTCGTAGATTTGCAGGAAAAATCGGGATCATTCGAGCATTTCCTTACCTCATAGCTATGTTTACGCATCGTAGTAGTTTTTATTCTATTTGTGTCAGTTCCAAACATGTACAATATTAAAAAACCATAAGGATTTAAATGTTTCTTCATGGCCGGAGGTTTAAATATAAATATTAGTTATTAAGATGCGGATTTATTAATATTTTATTTATTCTAAAATTGATATCCTAAAGGTTTTTGTCCCGGAGAAACAATTTTAAAATGTGTTTAGAGATGGAATTAGTGGGAAGAGGAAAACCTCCCACCATAATTGCTCTGCGTGCCACATAAAGATTTTCGCAAAATGCAATCTAACCGCAGTTAGTGATGAAACTTGAAATGCATAGTTAAGAAATGAGAACAAAATAATAAAGGATATTTTTTTCTCAGAACTTAAAAGCATTTTTAGTTCAACAACGATTATCTGGCATAATTTCAGTTCCTAAGAGAAGATAGTAACAAAGATAGGGAAGAAGATCAAGAAGCTTACAAGACTATTTTAGTTACAACGAAGAAACTAATTATCTCGATAAATCTTCCTTCTAAATCAATCGTACATTATTACTTATAAATTTAAGAATGATTTAATTATTTATAAATTTATTGATCATCATTTTTTTTAATATTTTCATCAGAATATCATAATAAATTAATGAAGACAGAGTTAACTTGATAATGATGTATTGTTGTTTATAAAATTAATTCGAAGTTAATAATAGAGTTTATATATTTTAATTTGATAAATCACATTAGTTATAATGATTTAATAATGATATAATAAAGAATTTATTGCTGTTTTTAATGATAAACTGAATGAACAAAGTCTCGTTTGAAAGGTATTAAAGGATATAAACATAGAGGAAAGTCATAAAACCATTATTTCTAATAATGATTTTGGAAATTGTATTTAAATATACTTTACTATCCTATTAACAAATAATATAAATTTAAAAACCATTATTCTTTTTTAAATAAGCAAGGGAAAAATCTTGAAATATTCGAAGAAACTATGTATTTTTAATGATATAAATCAATATTGTATTTCGAAAAATGTGGAATTTAAGTTGAAAACATTAATTTTACAATATAAACAATATTTTATGTTTATAATTATATATACTATACTATTAATTTCATACATATATTTTTCTATACGCTTATAATTAATTTGGTATTCTGTCTGAGAACATTTACAGAAAATAATTAATTTTATTATTGCTATTATTTATATTAAAAATCAATGAATTAATATTTATTCTTTATATCAATTATTAAGTGACCTTTTATGACTTAAAAGAAGGAAGCTATTAATTCTTCATCAATATCAAAATTAAAATCAGGTAAATTAAGAGAGTATATGGAAGAATTGTGTTATAATCGTTTATTTTAATTATAAACCATTTATAATTAAGAAAAAAAATTATTTAATGAATTACTGTAATTCTTTACATTGTTTTATTCTAACGAAACAATTTGTGGAGTTTAACTTATTGCTTTAATAAAACGTTCAAATAAATCAAAGTTTATTCAAATCAAATCAAAGATCTCTCGTAAATTTATGATATAAATGAGTAAAACAATTGAAAAGTTTACTATTTATTTTTTTTATATGTTAATGTAAATTAAGTTCTTAATATCTATCTAAACATAATCAATATTTATAGATTAGATCGATAAGAAAAATTTTCAACTGTACCATTCTGATACAAAATCGCATACAAGAAATAGAAAAAGTATTCTTGCACTTAAAATATATTTTGAGAATTTATGCTTGTAATTCTAACAGATTCAGGGATAAATCTGTATTGATTGATAAGCTAAGCTTCTCTGGGAAACCAGAATCTATCCTGCGCCCTCAGAAATTTTCGGGTGGTCTGTCCCAGGACTCCATTTCCTCCCATCCAGCCTATTGTGGTCCTAGACGAACCCACGATTAGTATGATTAAAAAAATTCTCTTTAATGCTCCCATAGGATAGAAAGAGTCAAATTAAAAAAAAAGCACACACAAATATTAAGCGATGTTATTTATTAATACTGCATTTTTGCTATTTTATTTTATATATTCTTAATTAACTCTCTCAATAATCGATAAAAGATGATTTATTCACATTAAAATATGTTTTAATTAAAGAAATGATAAATGAAACATCGTTATTTATTTGCAAATTTTTCTATATTTTCTCGATGAATGTATAATTAAGAAAATATAGAAATTTTTCATTATTTTCCTTAGTTTAAAAAAGTTGAATCACAATAGTTCTAAGTAAAAATGAAATCATAATCTTTAATGATTCTAATAAAGAAAAATTGTAATAATTTGTTTCTTTTCTTATAATTTAATGACTAAATCTGTGAATAATTAATTATAAACAGGTTTAAAGAGACATATTTTTGAATTAAAGAAGCGATTTTCATTTTAGCGTATGCAAATTAAACAAATATATATATATTTTTTTAGAATTTTAAATCGATTGTTTACGTATATATTTTTATTATTAAAGAATTAGTAAACGTGTAAAGTAAATATTCAGTAATTTTCATTACATAATTCTCACGATAACGATAAAAATTGAGGAGATAAACAACAATAAGTTACGCTTTTTGAATAATATTTTTTTTTTTAAAGGCGAGCGTGAAATTTGTTATTCCAAAGCATAAAGAAGGGCGGTGACATCACTTGCATCAGAATATATTTTCTTCTTATCTTCATTCGCAGTATTCGGGGGTTATACAATAATTGATCACGTAATAAAGTTATAATTTTGTTTTTGGAAAAAGCTAACGAGAGAGAGATGAATGAAAAATCGGGAATTATTCTTAATGACCAACAGGTGTAACCGAGCGGGACGGAGAAGAGAATTAATCTTCGTTCTACGTTAACAGGTGTTGTCGAAATCGCTATTTACCATTCGTCTAGTATTTTCATTTAATAATTATGCATAGGTAAGTTCGGGTCAGAGACGTGACCGAAGTTCGGAGACATCTCTGGCAGCGGGCTCGGGTCAGGAAGAGGCAAAAGGGAAAGATAAGATCGCTTTAAATAGAACCACTTCTATATAAACTCGTGACCCTGTCCCTACCGGCGTAGGCGACACCCAAATCCGTGGGAATGCGACCAGACAGACTCGTACCTCTCTAATTGTTTTGTTTTAAGTCTACGGTCGGTTCTTCTACTCGTTTGAAGAGGAAGCAGGGCGAGATGCCCTTCCCCAAAAGGAAACTGTTTTCTAATTCTAGAAACTTAAGCCATCTGGAACTTAAAATGTAAAAGAAAATCCAATTTCTTTTATATTCTAAGATCCAGATGGTTTAGAATGTAAAATTCTAAGAGAAATGAATTCTCTCTCTTATTTTCTACTCATAACTTGATCAGAATATTTTATGCATTTGCTTTACAAATTTAGAATTATTCAAGCATATAATTTAGTTCCGTGTGTCATTTGGTGCAGAAACTTTAGTCTTTTATAATAGTTCAACGTTTATTTTAATTTAGTAGCCAGCATATTTATTATATCGCTCCTATCACGTTGAAAACCGTTATCGAAATGTGTACTTAATGGAGTTCCGATAATACGGAAATTAAGTTCGGAAATCAGTATTAAAATTGTATTCTGGTAGAAAGATCCTAAATTTCTTAAGGGGAAAATAATAAATACTGAAGTTTAAATGGAATTGATGCTTAATTAGAAACGTCAAATGAAAAATCAACTTACTTTAAATGCAGAACAACGACGCTTCTAACTCGAGTAGAAATTTAATGAAGTGGATTAAACAATTTATCTTATCGGAGTATAAAGTATTTAATGCATTTTATACGATAGAGATTACGTCTATGACGAATTCTTTGATAAGTGATATTGGTTACTAAATATTCCGTTATAAATATAACAAAAAGTAGAAATATGTTCGTCTTTAATTACTTTTTGATACTTTAGAACATCCTAACTGCAATGTTAATATTCCCCCCGTGAAAACAAGTTTTAAAAAGACTAAACGACGAAGAAACTCACCTTATGCGGATATGCCACTCGATCGGTGCAGCCTTTAAATCGAAAGCGACACCGATTGTACTTTTCTAGTTGCTAGTTTTGTTCAATGAACTTCACGCTTATTAAAGTCCAAAGATTTAGACTCTGGTCGACTTAGAAACAACACGAAACACTTTATCTCAGCGCGGGATGATGTTTTTAAACGCCTTATATCTTTACGTAGAGTAATCTTCGACAGAGTTATGTGTGGGCCCAGCTCGGCATTTGTAAAGGTAAACCGCTTCCTAGTTATAGAGCGTGAGAAAGGAGGATGCAGATCGTGTTCTCGACACCTTCCGCACTAAAGAGTCAAATCAAAAAAGGTGCTACAACAATTATTCAATTTAGAGTAGTAAAGCGAAGAGAAGGGGTGGTCCCGAGTATTTTCTTTTATCATTTGAACATGAAAAAGAATTATTGTGGCTTTATGATACGTTGTGACATACGAAACCGGTTGTAAGACAGAATATGTATTCCAAGGTATACAGGTGGATTACGGAGGTGTTTAAAGATAGCTAGACATGTGGGAATTCTTGCTAGTGATAATCTTTACCAGTCGAAAAAGATATGCATAAGTCTCAGATTACAAAACTTATATACAATAATCACGAACTATTTAGATACTGTAACATAGGATGTTAGATAATCCATTCGCCTTCGACATCTTCGAGTTCTGAATAAAGCGTGTAATCCACGAATATTTTAAGATTATGTTGATTTATCGAAACATTTATACTGTAAAAAAGTATATTTTTATATCCTTTACATGTTTTATACGCTGGTTCTGAATTTTTTACAAAGTCTCCAAGTATTAATGAATTCAGAACACTTATCGTCTCTAAAATTTTAGTAAGCCTGTTTCTTTAGTTTAAAACATTTCAACTAGATGCAAATTAGTTTCATTGAGAAGATTTCAACATATAAAAGGTTTTTCAATCAAAAACAATAGAAAAGTATCGAATACAATAATAAAACAAACCGTTAAAGGTGCCAGAAGGCGTGATTTAAGGTGCAAACAAAGATTAAGAACGAGAAAGGCGAAGGCGTCGTTCGTCCTACAAATAAACGATTTTTATCTACTTCATGAGACGGTCACGTGTATGAGATAAGACTAATTGGCACGAAGTTCCGAAATGCTGGGATGCGGTTTTTCTTTAATTAAGCCGATGCGACGGCGCGGCTTCTCCACACCCAGACGGGTAGATCCTCACTCTCACCTGCTCGTGTGGGCGGAAAAAATGCCTCTCGGGGTTACATGCCAAAAACGTTGACCCGTCCGTTTAGATCCGACATGATTCATCTGGTTTGGTTTCGACGTGGGTTTTGCTTCCAGAATTATTCATGAGAAAAAAAAGAAGATTGTATTCGAAATTCTTCCATTCCAAGGTATTCGAAAGAAAATTCATGTCTTCTCTCAAAGTTCTAGACATAATTTATTATGACATATGACTTGTATGGTTTTAAATCACGCAGGAATGGAATTTTTATTACTCACAAGTCAATGGAAATATGACTTACTGGAAACAGAGTTTAGGTTTTTGTGGTAAAAAAAATCAATGAAATCTTCTCGATTTTCTTATTTCTGGATATTTCAGGACTTTTATAGAAAAGAGTTTTTAGAAATTATTAAGAAGTATTCATAATTAATTAATTGTGTTCGAATCTGTTTTCGTTTTACGAATTTCATGCTCATCCTTTACGTTACATTTCAATGAGTAGCCACAAAACTATTGGCTTTGTCGGGGAGATAATACGCACATTCAGTAAAGAAGCGTGTGATGCGCCTCTTATCGTGTTTAGGATGGATAAAGGTTGTTGACACGAGGTCGATGCTGCCTTCTGCACTTACATGCTACACTAGGCATATCGCCTCGGTATTTTATCTACCAATAATAACGATAAAAGTTACCATAACGATGTTAGAAAGAAAAATTAGAGCCGTATCTACGTGTATTAACGAAATTAACTTTTGAATTCTTAATTAGAGGAAATTATGCAACTCGAAAGCCTTTCGATAAGACCATACATTTCACTTTTGTCCTTTTCTCCTCATTACGTGACGTAATTTGTTTTCTCGGGATTTGAACTCGGCCTCTTCCTGTAGTCCTTACGATCCATTATCCCTTTCTAGTGGACACTATCAGCAATTATGATCAATTTTTTTACAACCAGCCTCGTAAATTCGCGTTTATAATCCATTTACTGCCTTATTGTCGAGAGAATTGGGAAGTGGCATCACCCGGGGCTTTTTATTTCTTTCGTCGTGTACTAGCATGTCATTGATAACAGGCAATGAAAGAATGGATCTTACCCTTCTATCTTCTCATCTCTACTTAATTATCAAAAGAAGAATAGGAGGTATCGACGTTATTTGTATATGGTACATTTCTAGTTTGTTTAAAGATCTTAATTAAAGTGAAGTCGCGATACTTTACGATGATAAAATTTTCGTGGCATCCAATTAATCTATGAGAACATTTTTTAGTTCGGTTTTTAGTGTAATACTTTTTATATTATAATTTGGGAGTTTAATACTCGTTATTGAGAATTTTTTTTGGATAATAATGATCGATTCGATATCAGATATATAGTTTTTATGCCTCTGCAATCCACAATAGAGATAGGCTAATTGTTATTCTGCTGGCATATATCAGGTCTTAAGTACTTTAGAAATGATTTTATTGGTATTAGATATCATTACAACAAATGTATAGAATAAAATTACGTTTTATATAAAAAGATTAATACGTTTTTATTCTTTAATTGTAGTAAAATTACAATCAACTAGTACAAAATCGTAGCTACATAATCTATGTATGAGTCAGTTCTTTTTTTGTGTGTAAATTTTATCTTATTTTTCAAATTCATTCGAAAGATAAAAATCAGTTCTGTATATAGAGGTTATTGAGCTTAAACTATCATACTTATTTCTACAATATTTACGAATTTCAACAAATAGTTCTATTGAACCTAATGCTAATGAGATGATTAAGCTCGTAAAGTATCATCCATCAGATAATCTCTTCCTCATCTTTCACGCTTCGGAATTCATTTGAACATTAACTTGGTAAAAATAAAATTTATTAAAGATTATCTAATCTCTTTTGTCATTTAATATTTATAGTAAGTGAGTGATTTTACTTTATGATAAAACTTTATTGGACTAGCAACATCGTGCGACTCGCAATGTTTATGCAATTCCATTCTGAATGGATCCCACCGAACAGGAATTTTTGTTGCTACAACAGCGTAATTATCAATCGTATTTAAATTACATAATTAAAGTCAGCAATGCAGAAGACAGGAATAATTATTTTTATAAAAACAGATATAAACTTTCTTAAATGAAATCCAAGAACAAAAAATTAGAAAAAACAAGAACACGGTCGCTTTGGTCGAGGTATGCAAAACATCAAACTCACCTGAATACAGATAGGGGGTGTTTCCGGAAGAGACGATAGTAATCGAGCGAAAGGGATAGAGTTTTCGATAAAAACGAATGGAATCAATAATATAACTAAGGAACCGTTATATTTTCCTGTAGGCGATGTATTCACTGTGACTAATACTATCAGTCGAGCGAAAAGGGATCAACGACACCTTCATTCTTAAGCATACATTGCATAATTCGCATATTAAAAGTTAATGTAGTTATACTACTCAACATGACACATTTTACTACAATTTTTTACGGCTTTATACAACGAGCCTTTACCTTTTTCTACGTTGAAAGCGATTGGTGGAAGTACATTGTAAATTGGGTGATTTTTTTTTCTGTTGTAAATTAATCAATTTGTATTAAAATGAATGTATGATATGCTAATTATAATTGCTAAAAGCTTTAGTAGCCTTAAATATTTATATGAAGCGTGAAATTATACATAAAATCGAATTGAGTCTACGAGAAAACCATTTCGGACAGTTAACGAGCGATAAAATAGTTAAATATGTAACAAATTGGTGTCAGGAAGAGATTAATGCTAGAGTTAAAAAAAAAAAGAAAAGATGTGAGTTTTTAATTTTAGAATCAAGTTTCCGATTTTCCTTCTTCGAATGAAGTCTTTACACAAAGAGTTGTACTGTACATAAAAGCTTAATAATAAAGCATACTTTGTGTGGTATTTTTCGACTTTTCTATTTGCCTTTTAAAATGGAGAAATAAAAAATTCAGGGTCGTAAAAAGTTAAGTAAATTTAAATGACGTATAATAAAAGAATAAAGAGATATGACTCAATATAGTAACTTGAACATTAGTCATTTGAGTAAACACTAAAAAAATAACCTGTTATGAGTAAGGTTTGAATCTATACTTTATGAATTTTAAATCGGTATTTCCTGAATATAAATTGTAATTTATAGATAAGTTTAGAATATTTTTAGAT